TGCTGGCACTGCTTTGCCTCAAGGTAGGCCTTGAATGTCAACTGACACTGATGACACAGCAGCTGCAGAAAGAGTCGATTCTACTGAGCAATCTGCCGCGAAGAAGGATCAGCGGATCGCTCCACGCAAAGCAGCTCGACGCAGGCAACCATCAACACACACGGCTGTGGCTACATGCAATGTCGTTAGGCCATGTAGTCTTCCGGGGGGCTTACGACGGTCACCGAAACCACGCCATGATGCACGATCCCGCTACTGCGTTCGAATTTGAGCCATGTTTGGCTATTCCGATTGGGGGCCCAAAGTAGCAGTTGCAATGTCGTTTAAGCTAGTCTTTCAGGCAGCACGCAGGGTTCGCAGAGGTCGCGGAGGCCACAGCGTACATGCGTCGACGTGCCCACCAAGGAGCGTGCCCAGCCTTACCTTGCTGTCACACACAGCCGCCGGTGTTCGGCAATCTGCCTGGAGGCTGCATTGGCGGATTGCTATATGGAGTGCTCCTTGCAAGACGTAAGCTGGCTGTGACACAACGGAGGAGTGCAGGTCTCGTCCTTGCCTAGCGCTGTACACATGAAAGAAACCTCCACGGAGAGTGGAAACCTCTCGTGGTCAATGTAAAGGGGCCTTCAATGCTCGTGTCACAAATGCTCCAGAAAGCATTGCATCACGTGTCGACTGCCCCATGTACATCATGAAGCTGCTGCTGTTCAGAAGGCGTCCACAGCTGCAAACTGCAAATGAATGATGCCTCTCGTGGTCAATGCAAAGGAGCCTTAAAAGCCTGTGGGACGACTCCGGAAATCAATGCATCATGTGCCGACACAGTCCACCACAGAGACTCAGAGACACTGGCGCTGGTTAGAGTGTGATGGGCTGCTCGACAGGGAAACCATCAGCGCTCGTAATGTGGAAGGCGATTGCGCCCACAGGGGCAGCGGAGCTCGCAGCACGCATGAATCAACATGCTCAGCAAAGACTGCACCAATCTCAGGATTGACACTTAGAAGCCTTCAGGCAACTGACGCGCATGCCATGGCAGCTGCGAAGCCTGAACCCTAAACTAAACTTAAAATCCAATGAACTCGGCGGCAGGCTGGCTAACAAACCTGCAAGTCCCTTCAGCCGAGGCCCTGCGCGGCTGTGACAGCATGCGTGTCGACATGCTACAACAAGTGCTGCATCCGCTGTCAAATTCGATGCCCGTGGTCATGTGCGGCGTAGTTTCTGCAATTCACTAAGCTGTCCTGGCTGTCAATGCAACGGCCCATCGCCACGTGAAGCGTGGTTTACGCAAAGCCAGCGAATTGCTTTCTGAGAAGCTGTGCCCTTGGAAAGTTGCTGTTGTTCACGCTGCAGCAATCTCTTGCGCGCTGATCGCTGGTGCCATCACCCCGAAGTCAAGCTCTTATGGCTCCGCATGAGGTGAGAGTCATCCTTAGCTTATTATCCATGATGCAGCAGACGAGTGAATCCAGTACGGTTGCGTCCCTTGGAGCTCCCGTGCACGCCATGCGCAGCAACAAAACTATCCTGACTAGCCAGTTTACGCAGATGGTATAAGGGATCGAGACTACATTCTGACTTTAGGTGAGGTCCTTACATCACCTATTGACCACGCTGCTCAGCTGAAAGATTTCGGCATCAAAAACAACTGCCACATCTGAATGTCTGTTGCTCTTGATGAACTTTAAAGCCCTGTGGAAGGGGTTTGTGGCTTGAGGCTTCTGACTCCTTGCGGACTCTCTTCCAAGATGTTGTAAACGGTTATCGCTGTTGATGCCTTGCCTTTGACAAGCTATTGTGGATAGTGTGAAGGTATTTTGAGGGGGTCTCGTCTTGGGGCTGAAATTTCACATGGGTTTATAAGGGTCTTCTTCAGGGATTGGGGGCTGACATGTCCGTATGTGGGTTATGGGTGTTCCCTGTAGAGTTGCTGTTGCGCAAGTGCTGAGGACATAGGTCATCATAGAACTATAAATAAGCAGCGAGAAAGGGAACGTTCCTTCCTTGTTGGAAAGTATTCAATCAGAACAGGGAAGTCTCCAAGGTCGAGCACGTGCAACGCATTTCTTTTGATGGTACGACAAAGCAAAATGCAAGCCTTACCTGAAAATACAGGGGCACTTCGGAAACACAACATACCCCCCAATGCCCCTCATATACAGCTCTGAACCCCAAACCCTAAGCTCTAAACCCTAAACCCTTAACTCTAAACTTTAAACCCTTAACTCTAAGCCCTAAACCCTTAACTCTAAGCCCTAAACCCTTAACTCGAAACCCTAAACTCTAAACCCTAAACCCTTACCTCTAAACCCTAAACCCTTAACCCTAAGCCCTAAACCCTGGCTAAAAAGGTATAGGAAACTGAAGGCAGGGGGCCCGAGCTCCTAAGGCACCTTGACTACTGGGGCTTCGTCGGGAATAACGGAATATATTGGGGTCAGGTCATACATACATACATACATACATACATACATATATATATATATATGTATATGGGGGTTTCCCAAAAATGTGGGTACCATTTTAGGGGTCCCCATAATAAGGACTACAGTATTTTGGGGGGAAACTGTCATATGAATATTGGAGAAGAAGATGGAAACTACATCATCTCAATACCTTGCAGAAGCATGTCATGCCCCAGACGAACAGAATCCCTCCGATAAAGAACCCCACACAAACATATGGCTTCAGGTTTAGGGTTTAGGGCTTAGGCCTGCACCAGATCTTATGTAATTGAACACTGCGGTGGACAACACTTTCACTCACTTGTCTATGCCTTCCCTCTGGCTCGTTGTCAAATCACACCCCTTAACTGAGTTATGTCAATGACCGCCTGAAATTGCCAAGGGCGTTCTTGGTGGACCAGTGATCGATTTCCGAACGTCTTGATTGCATATGAGCTATAGTCTAAACTCCTCGTATCCCCTTCATAATAAGCCCTACTATAGGAGCCCGATATAATTGGTCCCCCATATAACCCCTGTTAAGGAGTTCAGGCTATGATTCATATTGCAACAAGTTTTGAATAGAGCCTGGGCAACATCAAATCAGGCTCCGGGCTGCGATCTTTTGCCCCCACCCTGCTTCTAGGTATAGCCCCCTACCCAACCCCTGTCCCGTGCATCCTCAATCAAACTACGAGGTTAGAGCCTAAGCTTTTGTGGACTGTAGTGGAGTGGTGGTTGGCTTTGTGTTTTTTTGAGTTTGGGGCTTAGCCTATGTTGTTGCCATCCGTCTGAGTTCTCCCAAACCCTGCGCCTTGATTTTGCAAACCTGCTAACCGTTTGTTGCGGAGACAGCCATGCAGATCTACATAATAGCCCTGCAGAGTACTACCGCACTCTTCCAAGATAACCATGCGCATCCCTGAAACTTGAAAGTATAAGCCTCTTAGGTGCCGTACTTTTTGGGCCCCTATCTTCTGAATACACGCCCCAAATCTACCCTCAAAAAACCCTGAAATCCACCGCAGCCAGCAAGGTTGAGCCCCACATTAGGGGCCCACACCTCTGCTCTTAGATTATGCTGGAGGATCCGGCTTCGTCCGAATTTTGTGAAGGGCCCTTCTTTTTGTGGTTTCAGGAAGTTGGGACCTGTTTTGGACTCTGCCTATATGCCTTCCGGAGAACATGAATATCCCATGTAAGGCTAAACAGGCGCCCAATACCCTTGAGAACACACCTGAATGGTTACGGGAGGTTTCTCAACACAAGAACCCTTGGGAATTGTTTGTTAGAATGTCTCTCATATGGTAGTTTCCCTAAATAAGGGAACCCCAATACAGCCTCCAATATACTATAGTCCTTATTATGGGGACCCCTAAAAGGGGTACCCCTAATTTAGGGAAACTACCATATCTTCACAACAGGCAGCTTGCTCTAACTTTTTATGGCAGAGGCCGCGCAGCTCCGCGCAGAGCGCGCCCGGAAAATCAGCCGCGACTAACCTGTCTAGTTTGGGTCCTGCCCCCACCCATTAACAGGCTATATTAGGGGTAATATAATAATAAGGGCTATATATAACTATATTATGAATATTATCCAAATGTTAATGAGTGGGGGCAGTACCCAATGTCTAGTAGTAGTATCACGTGATCATGTCAAACCTTGCTGTCATCTTCATAATTGCAACTCCAATAAACATGTGCTGTGTCGTTTGGATCGCAACTGGCCTACCCTTACCTATTCTTAGGAGACCCCCCACCCTGTAATAGTGGTACAATAGGAATGTAAGAGGACCCTACTAGAACCCTTATTATCCCTTACAGTCACTATTACTGGGGTGGGGGGTCCACCTAACCTCTTCTACGCACCATCTCATGGCGTCGGCGTACCGAAGCTCCGCGCAGGACTGCGCAGAAATTCACGTTCACCTGCCGGGGGGTGCTTTTCAGCTATTCTGCAGGCTACCACAGAATCCCTTTCTACCGCAACCCCCCCCAAACAACATAGGCATAGACTCCTTGGAAGAGCCCACCAGCCCATATAATGCTAGGGACGATAGCCAGACACAAGGTTGGGGGCGGATGAGCAAGTAGCAACATGCGTGGAAATGGTTCCAAGGTTTTAAGGCGCTGCAAAGGAAACGTGCCTGCAGCAGCGGACATAGGTGAATTCCTCGTCCCAACAATGTGAGTTTCCAGGTGGCGGCAGGCAGCACTCCTGATGCAGCAGAAGCGGCCGCAATGGATCTCTCTCTCTCTCTCTCCCATCCAGAGGGTCTTACATCGATGGATAGATTGATAGACTTTTCTGTTGCCTAGCACTATGTTGCCTCTAGATAAATCATCGCATCATAAGAGCTAAGCAATAGCAGTCCCCAAAAAATTCTGACCTTGCAGGTTATACCTCTACAGATTTCCCCCCAAGGAATTGCCCTAAAAGGGGTCGCCCAAACCCAAAGGTACAGCCCCAAGCATCAAATCCTGAACCCTTGATTTTTTGGGCCTTGTAGGTGTATCCACCGACCCAACAAGCAGGATCTTGAGAACAGGTGGCTTGTGCTGCCAGCAGCTGCTGCTGTAACTCCTGTGAAGCAAAGCACGAAAGATATGGGAGATATGGGGGCTCGTCATTCTCCAACTACGGGAATCCCAATTACGGGCCAGTGGGCAAACGAGGGATTAAGTGGGCATCTCGTTTAGGCGTTCTATTGGAACGAACATCGCACTAGGTGTGGTGTGGTTGCTGGAAAAATAGTTTCACTAAGACGAGCACATAGTAGCTGCCCTTGCATTCGTTGCCTTCATGCTGGTGGGAATCAGAGATGGCCTGGTCAGGAGGGAACCTATTTGTCCTTTTCGAGTCTCAAACGCTTGCAGGACAAAGGCTGGGCCAGTGGCCACACCTATGCTGCCGCAAGCCTTAAAACCAAAAGAAGCAAGGCCGGCAATGTATCACCCATATATAACTCTACATATACCAATGTATATATATATATGTATATATAGACATATAAACACCCGAATTTGCCTCCCCGAATTGTCCTCGAATATATCCCCTATTAATAACTAACCAAGTTTGGAGCCTCAATCTGAATTGCAAGCTGCTGAAGATGGTTCCGGTCGCAGTCCTCCTGCAATGGCAAGGAGCGGTGGCTCAGAGGAGGGCCAAGAATTGAATAGCGAAAGACGAAAAAAGTCTAGGGTTTAGGGTTTAGTTTTCTGTTTTTTTTATGGGGCCACTTCTCCACTGTCCGAAGCTTAGCGAAGAGGGTTTAGGGTTTAGGGTTTAGGGCAACAACAGGAATAGCTGCAGTATCATGGTACTACTGAATATCAAGAATCAGGACAGCAGTGGCAGCAATCGGCATACGGGCAAGAAGAAAACTACGAATAACGGTAGTGCAGGGCACGTAGAAAATCCTGGTAGGGGTTATAGGGTATATAGTTTATATATTGGGATTATATAGGGATAAGGGAAAAGAAAATGGAAACTACTACAATGGGTTATACTGTTCTTGGAAGCTGGAGTTCGAAATCTGCAAGAGGAGCTGACATGGGCTTGCTTGGGAACATCTCACCCTACAGCCTGTGCCCTCAAGAGGGTCAAGACATAACCACCCTAAACCCTAAACCCTAAACCCTAAACCGTGTGACGCAATCTTTGTTACCAAAAGCCGGTGAAGGGACCACCTCCCCGCCCTGCAACCTCATCCTATAGCCCTTTCATCTCTTTGAACTCTGGGTCTATATTGGGGTCCCCTTATTTTGGGAAACTACCATATAGAAACCCTATGGTGTCAGAGTTTCTCATAATTCTTATGCACCCTGTAACTAATGCCCTTTCATCCTTTTGAACTCTGGTTTCGAAGTTTTTCAGAATTCTTATGTCTTGCGCACCCCAGAAGGACCCAAAGTTTGGAGAACCCCGCCTTTTTCGCCGAAGCCTCCGATGCTGGTTCGGCCTCCATGTCTTTGAAGCTTGAAGTACTTGCCTTGCACAGCCCTATACCCTCAAGACCCCATCAACCGAAGCCCTAAATCTTTCCCCACCCCCCAAAAAATACCTGAGGCTATCATGAATCTAGGGGCACAAATTCGGGAAAATTCTTTGCCCTAAAAATTGTGCCAAACGATACTGTCACCGAGCTGCTATCTCCGGGGGGGTGTCCAAGTACAGAGGCTCTTGGATCTCGTCTGTGAGCTCGATTGCTGCCTCGGAAGCATGCGGGCTGAAGTCAAACATCTAGCCAAGCATAAACATGATAATGGTACTAATGATATAAACTCATAATAACGGTAAAGAATAGGAATGACACTAACAATCAGGGTAAGAGACAATACACGACACCTTCCTGTGATGGAGCAGAACCGCATGGTCTGAGCTTGCCGCTGTCTCGCCAGCCCTCAGCTAAACGTCTCTCGCACGCATGCAAAGACTACCTTCAGGAATGAATCAAAGGTATCATGATCCTATATAATCCGCAAGAATGGCCTCTTTAATTTAACCACCAATGCCCCACTCAGCACCAGGCAGCAGATCTATACACAACCCCTCGCATTAGATCTGAGACTTCTCCGGCAAGGTTGTGCAAAGTTTGGCGCGTCTTTGGGAATCCTATAAACATAGGGAGCTGCATTTTAGTGGAGACCCCAAAAGACCCCAAAAGAGACACCAAAAGACCCAAAAAAAGAGACCCTAAACCCGAAACCCCAACCAACATTCTTGGACAATCCACCCTTCTGACTCAAGTTAGGCCCTGGCATGATTTGCTGCCAAGCTGCCCATGAAGCCTTTCTGACTCACATGGCCAGGGGGATCCTATGCAGACTACTATAGGTTTAGGGTTTAGGGTTTAGGTGTATGGTTTTTCTTCTATTTGGGTTATATAGGTATAATGAAAGAGGAAATGGAAACTACTAAGGATTATAAGGATTATATGGGGGGTCTGTTATATAAGGCATATATAGGGTAGATATTGGGGTTATATAGGGATAATGGAAAAGAACATGGAAACGGCTGTAGTACATTGAAGTTATAGTCCCCCTCAAGTAGATAGAATATGGCTTTGGGTATATTATACTAAGATGCCCATATACCCCATATTCTATCTACTCAAGGGGGACTATATATATGAAGACTTCCACTTTGATGCAAGATCAGCGCACGCTTTGCTGCAAATTGCAATTGCAGGACCTGTTTTGCAGGGGTTTAGGGTTTAGGGTACCCTAAACCCTAGACCCTAAACCCAGAAAAAACTGCAACTGTTGCCGAGAGTCGGAGGGTGTGAAGAATTGGCACAGGATGAGCTTCGGTGCCCAGAACAAACTGGTCCAGTGGCAGCGTCGCGTCATCCGAAAACAGCCTCACACTTTCACATACGATTAGGAAAGGACTCTGTGGAGCTTCGTGCAGCAGTGAAGGAAAAGTGTTAAAGCAGTCGAGGAGCAAGAAGAGGTATTTCAACGTCTCCTCAGAAAACAGCACTACCAACAAGAGCATGCTTGCGATGGATGTCTATCTCTCACAAGCCTCCACACTTGCTTACATAAACTCCCAGCAGCAGCGCTGAGCAAATGAGTATTTCCAAAAAACGGGGCCCCCTGATACACACCCCACAATGGCACTCTTCATTGTGTAGGCCCATGTTTCGAGAGCCTGCATAGTGCAGCAAAGATGCTGCTACGAAGAAGGATGGCATGTCGTCACGCATCTTCGATGGGTGGTTGACATTGTGTAAGCTGGCAAAGCCAAACCTTTGCTCAGGAGTACGTCAGGGTTCAGCGCTTGGTGTTCAGGCGCCACGCCTATCGCCTAAGACATCACCCCCAATACCCCCATACCCATTCATCTGATCATCTATCCGTGGAAGGCTTCATCTTCCTAATAGGCATTGCCGAGTAGATAGAATTTGTGGAATTTAGCGTTAGGCGTGATTATTAGTAATAGCTATTGCTGCTATTTGGGATTAAGAATGTGATCGTACCCCTTCTCTATCTCCATCTTGCCGTATTCCAATCGTTCGCACATTTTTGGATTTTCTTCTAGGTATGTCTCCATCACTGTCACAGAGAATCTCACTGTGCTTGATCAGTTCTGAACACTTCCTGATTTTTCTTTGGTTTCCTTGAATGAATTGTACTTCCAATACAAGTTCTTATCTGCATACACAGCGTTGAAATATGTCATTGATCTGTCCCTAGTTAGCTTAATCTCGTTAGAGTTCATTCAGATTTTTAGTGTATTAGTTCCTGCGACTGTTATGCTTCTTGCCTTTTTCTCTTGAGCTTGTTTCTGCAGTAGTGCTGATCATATCTCGAAATTCTTTGACATCTTCGTTTCACTTCTTAATCGGGCATTTCATGACTTCACCGCTTGCACACATAAATACACACTTAGAAAAAAGCTCTAAAGCTTCTACCGCGCTTGAACTATCTGCTGTATCTTCCTCCTCTCGCTCTCCTAAGCAATAAGCGCAGCTATTGGTAACTTATATACTGCGTTTCAGGGACCTTCCGGGGAAAGGACACCCAAAACATGTTGGCAATGACCGTTGTCCTTGGTTAGTGTTAGTGGATACAAGAAACGGCGTCTTCGATCGGTAGAAGGCAGACATCATTCGCTGGCCCCAATTTCTGTAGACTTGTCGTTTCGTCGTCCTGAGTTGAAAGCAAAGATATGCCAAGCAAGTCGGCATCATAGAGTCAGGCTTAAATGGTGGATCAAATGCAGATAAAGCTTGTGTATCTATATATACATATATCCCTTTATAGTCGTTTCCATTTTCTTTTCCATAATCCCTATCTAACCCCTATATT